CTTAAAGTGAATTGTAAAGTCGTGCAGGAGTCATGCAGACGCAATCGAGAGTTGGTTTTCTTTACAAGTTTCTATTAAATATCCTCATACAAAAATTACTTTCAATACACTTTTTTTTCTGAACTTCGCAGATTCTTTTTCATATTCAGGACAAATAAAAGGAAGATCGAAATTTTATACTATCATTTTGAAGTTATGTCTGACGGTGTTCGAATATGGGGCCACCCAGAGCAGAATATGTAAACAAATATGAAATGTAATAAAATAAAGTAAATAAATAAGTAAATAAAAAAGTAAAAAACAAAAAAATATTTTGTTTTTCTTATAGATATTTTATGTCCAAAAGTAGTTAGTTACAAGTTAGTTGACATGTAATGCAGAGATATCCAGGTCTGACTTTTTTGCGGCAAATACACAGTTAATAGTTAGCACTAGTGTTCGCGTAAACAGACTAAAGTTAGGTATAAGCTAACGTCACTCCCTGCAGGGTATGTATCAGTAGCATCACAATTTACCAATTTATCTAAATACATATATGTATAAATACACATTGAAATTACAAGAGTATATACATCGTGTATGCTAATGTAAACAAAATGCTTTTAACCAATTTTGACAGACAGACAATTGACAAAATGAGCAATGGCCAATGAAACAACAGCAACAAAATTAAACTAAAATCAATGCTTGTAATCATAACTAACATTTCAGATAAAAAAATAGTGACTGATAGTCAATTGGTATGCTGATGTTCATAATATTTATAGAACATTTACATATGTTAGTATCAGTGTTCCCAACAAGAGGGGGATATTCAACAATGATGTTGTCTAACGTCAGTACGCCTTATCTACATATCATATAAGTACATTACCTAAGTAGAATGTATGTATGTAGGAATAAATATAAGCACCGCTTCATAATTGCTTTATCAATCGAGACAGGTGGACAACTTGGCGGCGACAAATGGACGATCCTCCGCAGCACATCGCACCGCGCGTTTGGTTGGTTAGGACTCTGTCCGCCTAATGAAAGTGTGACACTTTCCGGAACCAACGTAAATGCATTTAATACGCAAAAGCTTCTAATGAAAGTGAGTTGGGATTCACAGTAGTTTGCGTTTATCAAATTAATTTAGCAAACAGTTGTGCCAGAGCAATGATGATAATAGCAGGTGGATCCTTAAGCGACTAAATTTGTATTTATTTATTGGTGCATAAATGAAGTTTTAATGGATGAGCATTTACATTCAAGTGTAAGAACGTTACAAGAATGGTGAGAAAAAAAATGAGATGTTTTTTACTAAACGGTGTAAGCGTGCAAAGGATTTGTGCTGTAATTTATTATGCCCTGTGCATTATGAGAATGTAACAGAAAAGGCAACATAGGTTGTATTTTCTAATTAACAGGAAATAAAGCATGGACATGACTGGAAGTTATATCCTTTCTAAGTTAATTTAAAACGTGTTTGTTTGAAGGAGTGCATAAATTTTGCATGAAAGAAATATGTAAATAATAATTACACCGGCAAACAAAAAAAAAGTGGTGTATGCTTTTAACCAGAGGTCGTTTGACTCATACACCTCCTAAATCTCGCGCAAATTACGAAAAACTGGCGAAAAATTCACAATTTTCGCAATTCACTCGAAATTTTATGGAGTGCAGGGGGCAAACGAGCCAATATTCGGATTCAGTGGGTCGAAATACATGCCGGTAGGTGGGTCTGGTTAAAAGCTCACACCATTTGTTTGTTGTGGGCCAGCGTTATATGGGCAATTCTCAATTAGTTCGAATGTGAATAAATGTGTGACTCAATTTTATTTATTTTTTTTTTACGTTGCAAAAATGTGCGCTGATTGGTCATGTTTGAGTAGTATTTGGAGAGGAGAATCGAATGCACCCCGTTAGAAATATGTGCTTGCAATAGAAGAAGTTATGAAGAGTCGAAGTGGCGTGACTCTTTTTTTTTTTTAATTCTGACACTCGCGCCTTTTATAGTATACTGTAGCTGGTGCCTACCTAAAACTGTTATCGGACAACTTTAATAGTGTTCTGGAGCATAAAAGGAACCAACCTAGACATGGCAGGCTTATGTGCTCTCATTAGAAGATAGTTACAAAAAACAACTTCTTGAAAAGGTTACGATGCGTGCACTAAAGTAAAAATGCATATTTTTTATTAGCACATCTTCTGCAATTAGAAAATTTAGCAAAATACGTGATCCTCGTGCACTACTTTTTTATTTATTCTTTAAAAAGTTACAGAGCGAAAAGAAGTAAGAAAAATTACAAAAAAAAACATATATATACATAATACCAAAGGCATTTTTTGTCCATGTCATCAAATCTGCACCATTCGTTCGATTTTCGAAAATGATGTGTCAAATGAAAGAGCTTGGGCTGTAGATGCTAGGACTTACCGTTGATTTTCGGCAGTTTATATTAGGATTTTTTTTTATATGAAAATAAAAAAATGCCAAAAATCAACGGTAAGTCCAAGATACTTAAAATTTGCACTTTGATAGCTAAAGGATATGGAAATTTAGCTATCGAAATTTGTAGATTTATCCAATTTTATCGAGTTATCGGAATTTAGTTTTTTTGATACTCATTGAGCTATCAACACGCATCGAATTGTCGATCGAAATTTATCGACTAACTGAGATGTACCGAGTTATCAATATTAAGAAAGGTTTTAAAATTAGTCAAGTTAACGATAATTGTGGAGATACATAGTGCCCCATGGTTCACATGTTACCCTATTGAAATTGTGTCAATTAAGTTGATAATGGAATATGCCAATTTCTCGTGAAATACTAAAAATGATAGGTCCAATCCCGTATTCCTCGGATTAAAACTAGTAAAACTCTAAAAAGAAATACGCTCAGAGCGAGAGAGTAACACTGAAAAGTAGGGGATCGATTTCTAGTGAAAAATGATAACTTCTGTCAACTTCAACATAACCTCCAAATTTGGGTTGTAAATTTTTGCTTATTTTGTATGTAAACACACTCAGGGCACACATGTAAATAACCAAAAATACTTCCAAATGCATTGATTCCACTTAAACAATTAATTAAATGCTTTTCAACATGCATTAGCAAAATGCACTTTTGTTTTATTTGCAATTTGGTTGCCAAACACGCTACAGCTGATCGTTTGACATTTACCGGACCAATTTACCGGACTAAAACTGTTGACTTCTGACAGAGAGAGGACCTCATTTACTCTGTTCTTTGTCCTCTCAATTGTCAGCGAACCGAGTACGGGATCGATTTCCAGTAAAATCTGACTGACTCTGACTAGTCCGGACTCGTACGGGATCGCAACTAATAATAATTTCACAACTCTTTTTGTCCATAGATCAACTACAGCAACATTAATTTCCCAGAGGATCGCATATGGCTACGCATACCCGACTGGGAGATAGCAGTGAAAATCAGCACATTTGTACCTGTCATCATTTTTGGTTTGTATGGAAATTTTGTCTTACTCCAATTGATTGTGCTGAATCGTGCGCTACGCACACCAACAAATATGCTAGTGGCTAATATGGCGGTAGCCGACATGTTGACGCTACTGATATGTCCAGCAATGTTTATGATAACTGATTTTTACCAGAACTATCAATTGGGCTCGTTTGGTTGCAAGGCGGAAGGATTCTTAGATGTTTCTTTCCTCATAACAGCCGTTTTAAATCTAGCAGCTGTAAGTTATGATCGTCTAACAGCAATTGTACTTCCGACGGAAACACGCTTAACAATGCGAGGTGTGAAATTTGTAATTTCCTTCACATGGTTGGGTGGATTTTTATTTGCTATGCCATTGGCCTTGTATAGGACGTATAAGGTTTGTATGTACATAAAATTGAATGTCGATATTTATTTTTAAATAACTTTACAGTTAATAAACTATTCAAGATTATCTGTAATGATTTTCTATAGGTACGGCAGTGGAAAAACTTTAAGGAAATGTATTGCAAGGAGAATCCAGACATTTTACCCAAATATTGGTATGTGCTAATTGCGGTGATGGTATGGTTACCGCTCAGCGTAATGTTGATCTGTTACACGGCGATCTTCTTCAAGGTAGGCGAAATGAGAACAAATAAAAAAAAAATGTTATCAAATTATAATTTCTCGTCTACTCCTGCAGCTCGATCGCTATGAGAAGCGCGTGCTTAACCGCGAGCATCCACTCAGCGTATCTTACAAGAAAAAAGTGGCCAAAACTCTCTTCATTGTCGTGCTCGTTTTCATTGCGTTTCGTCTGCCCTTCACCTTATTAGTTATTTTGCGTGATCAGTATGTAACAAATACGGATACCGCTGTGAATAGTAGCTTTCGCATATTTTGGTATATATCACAGTTTCTAATGTTTTTGAATGCAGCCGTTAATCCACTGATCTATGGTTTTAACAATGACAACTTTAAACGCGCTTACGATCAAACGCCATTGTGTTGTTGTAAACGAAGGGGAAATAAATTGGAATCCAACGTAAGTGACATTAAATTGTTTCAAAACCTTAGTTTGTATCTAATACTTATTTTAAATATTTTGAATTATTTGTATTCTCTTGCTGCTTAATTAGAAAACTTCCTGCCACAAAGGCTGCTTGAGTCATCTGAGCAAGTGGTTTAATCAGATCTGCTGTGCGGTTTGTTTTCATAGTGAGAAACAGCTCTCTTTTGTTGAAGATCAACAAGCACAGGGTGGAGAGGCAATACGTAGTGGAGCAGTGGAGCCGCATACGCTGACAAAAGAGATGAATTTAGAAAATGCGAAAACAGCATATAACCGTTTTGACAATGAAGGTTACCATAATAAAGTTATGAGTGAAGGTTTCATTTAACTTTTAAATTTAAAAATATGTATACACATTTTTAATAAATGTTATTGTTGTGTTAATGTTTGGAAAGTTATTTTTCATAATGCAATTCAATAGGATATTTATTTAACCAAAAAAAGGTTGTCGTTTTCTGATAAATGCAAAACGAAAGAAAAAACTACTCAAAAAATTAAAACTAAATTAGGAAATACAGTGACTCAAAGAAGTGTTCACATGTTGATATTTTATAAATATTCAATGTGTTTCAAGCAACAATTTTGTTGAAAACACCAAATCCATATACACTCGTGGTCACGCAAGCCTTACCACCATTTTTTTTTTTTTTAATACATATGTACATGGGTAGAATTTTGAAAATTTATATTTGTACTAGGTCAAGTTTACCAAAATTTCAGACTCGGGTATGCAGTTTAATAGCCCATTTAATTTTAGTATACCCATGTGCAAGTTTGAAGTATCCCAAAATTCTCGGTGAATTTTGTAAATTTTTGCCAACGGTTATGTGTAGTCATGCTTTTTGCAAAAATACCAAAACTCAGCCAGAGTTTTAGCTACTTCAAAATTGCACTTTATTGCACTAAAACTAAATTGACTATCATGATTTTGATGAATTCTTCTAAATTTGGTAGAAAGAATGAAACTTTTATTTATATGTGTATGTAAATTTTGTTACAGTGTGAACGATATTTAAAATAAAAATTATTAATTTACAAAGTTCTACCTCATTTTTTTTTAAAGTGGTGGTAAGATTTTTGCGTGGCCACGAGTATACATAAACCAAAGTTTTAAACTTTATACGAAATTTAAAACAATTCAACAAATTTTCATTAAAATTTCGATCTTTTTAATAAAAAACTTTTGAGTATGCAGTTTTATAGGTATTCGCAAATTAATTTCAAAATTGTACTCGTTACATGCAAAAAAACATCAAATCAGTAAAAAAAATAATAATAAAAATCAACGCGAGTTACAATAAAATTTTAGGGGCTATAAAACTGCACACCCATAAGTTTTTTTTTAAATTATATCAAAATGTTCGGAATTTTGACGAACATTTTTTTAATTTTCCTAAATATAATTTAAAGTTTAGACTTCGATTTGTATGGTGGTTTTGCTTAAAGCATAAACAAAATTTTTATAAAAAAATATAACAAAGCAACTTGAAAAACATTGTGAATATAAAAAAAATCAATATATGAACACTTGTTTGAGTCACTGTAACTCTATGGTTTTTCCTAAAGAAGACAGACTTTTAAATAAGGAAGAAAACCCTAGTCAATATTGTTTTTTATTTTAAGTTTATTACCTTGCCTAATTAATATAAACGAATACAAAAAATTCGCTGAACTGGCATCGCACTCTGGATCTGGAACATTTTAAGGAATGTCACATACACACATCTAGCAAAGGGTTAATAAACGTTTCATTGAATTAGGCGTGTTTTGCTCTATGCACCAACTCATCTCCCATGCATAGCCTCATTTTACAGTTACAAAGTGGCTCTTCTACTCCTATGCAAGTATGTACATATATGATTGTATATAAAAGAAATCCCTTTTTTGTGTACGCTTACAGTTGTAATTTGTTATTTATGCGAATGAGCAAAATTAATCGCACGAAAATAATTGTTAATAAAACTAGTTAATTCTTTTTCAATTAATCTTGTGAAAATGTTCTTTCATCTATTTATATTGGTTTTTATGAATTGTGTTAAAAATTGCTTGTTTTTTCATGTGAATTTTCAATATTTTTATGGCGCACAACTCGAACCGTTTAATACGCAATTACAAAAACGTGAAATGGCACAATTTTTCGATAAAGGTAAGAGCATGAGGAGGCAAAAAGTGAAAAAAGGATCGTATATACAAACGCCTGCTTTAGATTTTTATTGTGAAGTAAAATTTTTTATGATTTTACAATTAGGAAGAGACAATTTTCAAAATTTTCTTATACGGGTAAATCATAGTACTTATGTATGTATGAATGCGACTAAATCCACACAGATTTAAAAGATCATAAAAGTAACAAAATTACTCGACTTTTTCATATTGGGAGTATCGTGGAAACATTGCTATTTTTATTGCATAAAATTACTATATTTAGGTAGCAAAATGGAATTTATAATATTTTGAGCATTTTAAGGTTATAAACCATATGTAAGGTTATAAACCATATGTAAGGTTATAAACCATATGCATTTCTGCCTTTAGTTATAAAAAATTGATATGGTGCGCTAAATGACTGCTGAGTTTCTTCAAAGTTATTTTTCTGCGTTCCGCTATTCGTTCAGTTCAACCGTTCATCCAACTCGCAACTAATCTAAACCGAAAAGCTCCTTTTTCATGTAGCCCGACTTATGCGTCTCCAAAAATTTAATAAACAGTCCCATATTCATTACACCATCCTCATTATCCAGATTATCGCAAAAGAGTTGCTCTTTGAATCCCTCGAAGCGCCGTCGTTTCTGCAATTTACCCTGCCACGGTTCACTCTTACAAATAGTTATGTGCTGCCAACGCATAGCCTTAATTATGCGCCAAAAATCTTGCGTATGCTCACGTAAGCCCTCCACGCATATAATACCCGGCTTGCCTGGACGCGAAAATCCAGTCAAATCCAAATTGCGCGCTTCTCTTTGTATTTCTTGTCGCTTCTTTTTCGACTTAATGTGATGCGAGTATATCCATAAACGTTCACATTCAATTTCATTCTCATTTTCCTCCACCAATCCATCGTTCTCCTCAAATTCACTGGCATCACGTGCAATCAGTGCAATTAGTTCGTCTTGTAACCAGGAGACCACTTGGAATACATAGCATTCAGTCTTATCCATTGTCTCGATGTACTTTTCAATTTCACGCTTCAAATACAACTCTTTAGTTTTGCCCAGCAGCGCGCTGAAAACCGTGACAATCGCATTCTCTAGCAATGGATATAGGTGCGGTAACTCAATGCGTATATCCATTTTATCTTTTCGTTGTCCATGCGCCACCGTCAAAGTGATCGTGTAATCTAAGTGTGCCTTCAGCGCGATCGTGGGCACAGCTGTGGGCATATTAAGGAAGTCATTGAAATCACCTATAACGCTCGCATCGAAAATATGCATTTCGCCGGGTGTACAATAGATCGATGACAGCATGTCGACCTCCTCCAGTTGCTTCGAAATGCATTGCACATAAAGATCTTGTTCGTCTAGTTGCTCGTGTTGTGGCGCTTGTTGCTGCGTATCCGTCATTGCTGGAAGAACAGAAATGTCCAATCAGATCGGTATAAAATATATTGGTACTTATACATAGAAACGTATATAGCGCCAAGTATATTATATGCCGATAGATAGATAAATATTTCTGTACTTGATTTTAAGCAGCGAGGTTTTGTGCTTGTATACACAGGTAAATGAAACGTAACATATGGATCAGAATTTGTGAAATCAGCTATCCATAGTTTTCAGTGCAATATTGAAAAAAGACAGTTCTAGTTGATCGTTAAAATTATACAAAAATATAAATTTTTTTCTTTCTTTTACTTGTACTAAAGTTATTGAATTCAGTTTGGCTAACTTTTTTAACAAACCACATAATTTTTGAAACAACTAATCGATTTAATGAAGCTTTATGATGTCAGAACGATTGAAACAAACGAGAAGTGAGTGTGAGTTGGTAAACGTGATAGTGTGCCAGGTTAATGGAGATTTTTACAGACAAAGCAAGCGTTGATAAACCGCAGATGGGCAGAGAAAAAATTGTAGAGTACTTGAACATGGCACCGAGACATATGAAATCAATCCCATTCTCTTAGAGAAAATGGGAGCTATTGTAAAAGGGAGTGTGGCGCCTTTCAAACGCACTGCAGCTATTACGTATCTTTGTATGCATATACACTTTTGCTAGGTTATTTAAGATGGCAATGAAATATGCATTCTGACAACCACCAAACCGTCACTGAAAATCATGAACGTTAAACTGTTGGTGAAAATGTTGGACCAAAATGTTTCAATACAAAATATAAATTTTGGGCGGGACGAAATTCTCCGGGTCTGCAAGTATTTTCGAAAGTATTAGTCCTACATAATTTTTTTGTAGAGAATCGAAGTAAGCTAAGAAAAAATTCGTTTAGCACTTGAACTTTGATGGAGTTGGGCGAGCCTAAGATGTTGACCGAAAATTGTCATCTTTAGCACAGATTGTGTTTAGGCCATAATGAACCATATTTTTGCTATTACCAATCAAAATTCTAAAACGCGGATTTTCGGCCAAAGCTACTAAACGTGCCAAACGAGAAACAAATAAGAGCATAATATCTCGACCCTAGTGCCACCTAACGAGGCCATTTTTGGCCAAATATTTCTGCTTACATATAGTATATATATTATAAAAAGGAGCCAAATCGGTCTATAAATAAGTTAGATATAGGACTTTTAATTTTTTTACGCGGTAGACTTTTCGCTGGAATCGGCCATATATGGTTTATCAAGACGAATAAACTGCAACTCGTAATGGGCCAGAGTAGCACGAGCCTCTCCACAAGAAAAAATGTATATATAGCCAGACGACAGACAGTTCGTACTCACGATAAAAAGTTTGCCTGAATATGGTTATAGATTATCCCTCATTCGGCATGCATACTACATATTTAGCAAAATCATCTCAATTAATATTTTTTTTGTTTTCTTTTAATAAAGATATCGTCAAATATGGAAAATTTTGAAAAAAGTTTCGGGAAGTGTAATTTTACTTGAGGTTTAAGTAGAATAAAATAACTTGCATTAACACAACTTTGCATTAAAAAAAAATTATAGTTTAAAAAACTAAAACCTCGCTATTATAATTTCCATTCGTACTGTCATCAGGTATGTAACTTGAGAATAGAAATCTCTGCATCTTTTAGGCGCATCAATATTACATACAGCCGTATTCTTACAAAGTCACAAACTTAAGCTCATCACTGCTGTGATTTCTACTGCGCCTCAAAGCTTGCCGCTGCAAAAAATATGCCGCCACAATACAAATTTTTAAATTTTGGTATATTTTTCTAGCACTCAAAATCGAATTCTTTGTG